GAACAGAAATTGACGCCAACAGAAACTTTCATAGCAGCCAGTTTGATGCTTTCCCTCCTCATACTACCCTATTAGAGAAAAGCTGCCAAAACATTACCACTAAATCACAAAACAAAAACCAAATTATTTCATGTTTAAACTATAAAAAATCCCCATGTCTCACTAAAGACCAGCTTTAGTGATTCCCTCCTTCATCCTGACATCTGCTTATCTCATTTTAGCAGGAACTTTAAATTTTTCTAAGGTTATTATATTCCTTGAAAATCTGATATTTTGAAGTCTTTTTTTTTCAGTAAAACGTGGCTGAATGTATGCCAGCATATGCACAGATTCCCTTAAAAAGATATTCACCAGGTTTATTTTGTTTTGTTTTACTGAGATACTGGGATTGAACCCAGGGTCTCTGCACTGAGATACATCCCCAACTGCTTTTACTTCTCATCCCCAACTCTTTCTATTGCCCAGGCTGGACTTGAACTTGCGATCCTCCTGCCCTCACCTGGTAGAGTGCTGGGATTACAGGCCTACAACATCGCGCTCAACTTGGGTTTATTTTTCCCCTTACATTTATCCCTATAGTGAGCTATGGTATTTCACTTCTGACTGTCCTCTGTGAATAAAGGAATAAATGATAATAGCATTATGTCACTTCACAAGAAAGAAAAGTTCAATACAGTATGCTAATACAATGAATTATAGATTCTTAATGAGTTTCATAATAGAATTACAAATGGGAAAATAATTAGCTGAGATTTAAGCAAGAGTTGGCAAGCTTTCTGAAATATTAATTAAAAGAAAAATAGTCTCCAAATGATACTCAAATTTGACATTATTAGAATCTCAAAACAAGACCAACCTGACTTGGTAACCTCATCTGAATAGCAGAAATACATTAGTTAATTGATTTCTACAAAAATTTTACTACTTAAAAAAATCCACATAAACTTTGTCCTAAGTTCTTCTGTACAGATGTTTTTATTAGATTGTCATTAATTGTTCACAAACATTTAAAATTCATATGAGGCTGTTACAGTAAGGACAGGAGAAAGCAAAGGCTCTTGGGGGAAGACCAGGACGGCCACGGAAGGAGACAAGACCTTTGGCAAACTGCTCAGCTCTCACAGCTGTGGGCTCACCAAAAACACCCTGGGCTAAAAAAAAATGCCACTCAAAAAGCTGCCTTTCTTATGACACGGAATAAACTGTCATTTTTATTTTAGTTACTGTATTTTTCTTAGTTTCATTAACACTGCCTATTCCCTTAGACATACCCTAATTTCAACACAAAGAACTCATGACCGCCAATACCTGCACCAACAAAGCTTGCATCATCGTCTCAGGTAGGTTCTGAGGCTCAGCACATGGGAAGGCTATTAAGGAAGACAGAAAGACTCCTCCTACGTCTTTCTGTGACAGCCTCCTACATCTGGGCAAAGGCCACCAGGGGAAGAAACCCTCGTGGCACTTTACCCCCTTTTTCTCAGGCTCTTTCTCCTCTAGTCACACCCAACCATGATTCTTGCTGTCTAGAAGAAGTTGTCCCTGGGTATCTGCTTCAAGTCTCAGCAGCAGTCACTTCTCCACGCTGCCTGGCCTCCTTTCCCTGAGGAAGAGGGAGCTATAGCTGCCCCCATTTTATGGAGTCACACTCCTGTATCTTCAACGTAGGCTCTTCTAATTTCTGAGTGTTGGCCTCTTTTTCTTGTCTTAAACATGCAAGCATCTCCCTCACCCTGAACAAGGTAACAGAGGCCTCACCTGCTTCCCATCCTCAAAGGCAAACACAGTCCTTTGCCACTTCCCTGCCTTCTGCACACTGGGGAACAAGATGACAGCAACCAGATGACTGTCTCTGTAGACCCACACACACAATGCACATTATGTGGTCAATTCCTCATAACACACCACCACTGTTATTGCCCACTTCACAGATGTCATGCCCACGGATCATAGGGAATTAGCTCTGGGGCAGTCGATTGGTTGGATTGAACTTGAAGACCAATTCCCACCGCGCCCTCAGCCTCCTACATCTGGGCAAAGGCCACCAGGGGAAGAAACCCTCGTGGCACTTTATCCCCCTTTTCTCAGGCTCCTTCTCCTCCAGTCACTATCTCCATCTTGATGTTAGACTGAGGAGTCTGTGGTTGCTACGGTCTTAAATCTGCTCACTCCTCTCTACTCGAGTGCATAACCACAGGGACAGGAGTGTGCAAGGGGTCTGTCCAAGGGTGAGTCCAACCAGGTAGAAGCAGGCCAGGAACCTTGCTCTCCCCTTCCTAGTGCACAGCCTGGCCCACAGATGGCCTCACATTTCCCTCTGGTACTCATTCCCACACTGACACTGAGAAGTGCCTTTCTGGTAAGTCCAATTCATTTGGCCTCTCCTAAGAAATGTTCCCAACATAAATTGTTTAACATGGTATTGAGTGGGGAGATGAGAAGACTGAATGAGGTGCTCAAAACCTCTGAAGAATTATCCAGTGAAGAGGTATGACATGTGCACATTTATTCCATGTGCTCTAAACAGTACAACTTATGCCCAGGAGATGACAAATTTTCCACAAGTTACTTCATGAAATATTCTGTTCCTAACTAAAGTTGCCCAGACAGGTAGGTACTCAGCAGCCATCTGATAAAGAAGTGTCAGAAAAGCTCAACAGGGCAGATGTTGAACACAAGCCACTCACTCCCAGTTAACCGAGCAGCTACTGAGACCAGCACTGTGTGAGGCAGGATCAGAAAATGACACAGCAGTACTCTTTATAGAAGTCCACAGCCCTAGGGAAGTTGCAGCCCTTGCAGCTTCTGACTCCACTGTGGCCCTGAATGCCTGACAGAGCCTTACGAGAGTTAATATTTAGTTACACTGTGTGTCAGCACTCATCATTCTCCATAAGTAGAACAGAAGTCACTTAAATCACACTCAAGATGCGGTGCTCTTCATGTGATTCTCTTCAGTCAGGGAAGGTCATGCATTGTCAGAGCTGCATGATAACGCTCAAGAGGCCCAAGATACTTTGAGCACTGCTCAGACATTTTTATAACATAAAGTAGAGCACATCTAAAAGATAATAATTCTCCCTATTAATCCTTCCAAGATGACAAATTTTCATACAAAAAATAGTTACATTAGCAGGCTACATTTCCTAGCAGAAGAAATCCAACCTTCCTTCCAAAAAGCCCCCAAACTAAGCATCATTGCTTCAGACACTGCTTCTCTGCCCATTTCCAGCTTTCTTGTCTGGGTCCAGGGAGAGAAAAGTCTGGCTCTCTTATGCATCTGGCTCCACTGAGAACACAGGCTTGTATTACACCAGGGTCTCAGCATGAAGGAAGGGATTTCATGTCTGATTCCTTTGTTCCCTAGTGCCAGAGCAGCTGACACACAGGCTGGCTAAACACCAATAGAAAGTTCTGCATTATGTGTACCCCAGCTGTGCACAACCTTGCTCATCTCCTCTATAAACACACAGAGGCCCCATTACCTCTGCCCACTGTCTGGGACCCAGTGTTCTTGTGGAGCAGATGGCCAGTGAGAGATAGTGCAAATCTGTACCAAGCCATCGTCTCCACCACCTGCCACACATTTTCCTAATTGCAGTACTCATCACAAGTCACACAAGAGGGAGAACTTCTGAAGACACATTAACTCTGGTTTCCTCCTTCAACAAATTAGAAATACTTAAACTTTTGCGGTTTTTTTTTTTTTTTGTACTGGGAATCAAACTCATGACCTCGAGCTTGCCAGGCAGGAGCTATGCTGCTGAGCTATATCCCTGGCCCAAGTACCTGGAATTTTTATTCCAGCTCACACTTGCTATAAGTGTTCCTCAGTGTTTCCCAGCAGAGTTCTTCAGGTGATCTTGTCAAGAAGAGACACAGACAACTAATATTCTGTTTTCCACTTACATTTCACACTCTCTGGACTTATTCTTCCAATCACAATGTCCTTAAGCACTCTAAACTTTCCCTGACAATTCTGTCATATACCCAACATGGAAAGGAGGCCACTTCAAGGGCAAAAGTTTCGTGACTAAAACAAATTTTTCATTCATTTTGAGAATTGAGAGGGTTTGAAGTTGACTGAGTACATTACAGACGATATAATTTCTCGTACAGCAAAGAGCACTTAACTCTAGGCTTTAACAAGGTTCAAAAAAAAAAAAAAAGACAAATGCAAGAGAAAGAGTGAGATGTAAAAGTGGGAGTTCTCAGGTTTGTTCCTCTGAAAATGCACTTAACCAACAGGACGCGGCCAACCCCTCCCAGTGGACGTTGCAGCCCTAGCTCTGCACACCTCACAACATGTGTTGAGGTCGTTTTGCGGCTGCTCATCTGTGAAGTGCCTTGCGCCCGCAGAGGTGGAGACAGGAGCGCTGGCTGGCGGGACTCAGGTGGATGATCTGCTGCCCGCATTTCAGCACATTGAGGAACTGGCCCTCCTTATTCTTTTGCAATAGCGTCTTTTTTTTTTTTTTTTTTTTTTTTTTTTTTTTTTGTCTTTTTGAGACAGGGTCTGGCTATGCAGTTCAGCCTGGCCTTGAGCTCATTTTGTAGCCCAGGCTGGTCTCGAACTCAACGATCCTCTTGCCTCAGCCTCCTGGGTGCTGGGATTACAGGCGTGCGCCACCACGCCCTGCTACAACAGCGTCTTAACCGCAGTTGCCGCCGACTTTTCATTTCAGGGGGAAGAAAAACTTCCAAAACAGACAGGAGGAAACCCACGGGAGCTTCCCGCAGCGTGGCGGCTCCGGGCGTGGGAAGAAACTAAGGCTCGAGGGGTCCTGTTCCGCCTGCGAAGAGGGGACCCCGAGGCACTCACGAGCGCCCGCAGCCACTCACAGCCCTCTAGTTCCCTTCAAGCACCGACCCCCTCAGGTGCCTCATCCCTTCAGTCCCCCTCTCCGGCGCTTTGCTCTCCCCACACTCCCTTACTGCCCCTCACTCTCTTCAAGGTCCCCTAGACCCCTTCCACGCCGCCTCCAGCTCCCCCAGCCTACCGTGTCTCCGGTGCTCAGACATGTCCGACAGCCCCGCCCACACGCGCGCCGCCGCTTCCGGATTCCGTCCAGCTACGCCCGCCTACTCCAGCAGAAGGACCCAATCCTCAGCCGAGCCTCCTCCTAGGATTGGCTCGCACCGAGACTGTGGGCGTGCCCCCAGCCGAGGCCCCGCCCCTGGAACCCCTCCGCGGAGCCTGCGCTGTGGGGAGGGTGCGCGCGGGGTGCTGGCTCTTCTCCCCGCGCAGGCACAGCGGACCCGAGCGGTGACAGCCCGGTCGGTGACACCGAGAGCTCAGGGTGTGAGGCCTGAGGGGCGCGCGGGGCGGGAGGAGACCGAGACCTGGAGGTTGGAGGGCGACGAGAACTCACCCTGCGCAGGTCCTCCTCTCCCCTCCGGGTCGCTCGTCCCCGGTGCCCACACGGCCTCGCCTCGTGTCGGCCACCCTTTCCGGCTCTCCCCCAGCGAGGGCTCCCGCTCGGCCGTGTCGCCGGGCCGCCCCTCGCCCGGCGCGGACCCCCCTTCCTTGAGCTTGTGTCTTCAGAAACACGATCGCAAGTGTCCGTGTCCGGCCCTCCTCCGCACGAGAGGAGCGAGACGCAGCATCCCAGGACCACGGGGGCCACGCCAGGACGAGTGCTGTGGAGAAGGAAAGCAGCGCGCACCGCCAGGCGCCTTGGTCGGGGCACCTAGAACCAGGTGGGAGCAGGACTCGGAAGCCGCGGTGCGCGCCTGCCTCCGCGTCTGGAGCGACCGCCAGAGACTCCAGGGAAGGAGCTGCAGGTCGAGGGTCGGCCCTGCGCAGAGAAGTGAAGCGACCCGATGTGCCTTTGAAAAGCTGCTTCGGCGCTGTGCTAAGAGTAGAATTCAGTGGGAGGAAGCTGGAGACACCTTGAGTTAACTGCAGCGGGGAAGACGTTGGCGGCCAGCATCTGAGTGGGAGCGTTGGAGGGTGCGGGAGGAGGCAGTCAGACTGGATGTGTTTGAAGGCAAAACAAAAGAGACTTTCTGACCGATCACCTTGGGCCCTGACAGATTGGCTTGCACAAACAGATAAGTGTAGAGTGGCTCAAGGTCCTGGTCTGCAGGCTAGAAGGTTGGAGTTGCATGGATGAGGTGGAGACCCATCGGGGTATCCTTGCTGGGTGGTGGCGTGCAGCTTCAGGCAGGGGAAGTTTGAGATGCTCACAGAATGCATAAACCTAAGAGAGCCCCAAGGGAGTGGGAGGGCAGAGATGGGGGTCAGGGACGGGCCTGGAGGTGCCCCAACGTTTGGAAAGTGGGGAGATGTGGGGGTTCCAACTGTGTGAGCGGGTGTGTGGCAAGAGAGGAAAGGGAAAGACAGGAAGCTTTCCTGAAACCAAGTCAAAAGAGGAATCATTTGTCTCAAATGGTGTTGCTAGGTAAAAATGAAAGCTGATCATACACAGCTTGATTTATCAAGCCGGATCTTTAGTGACTTTGATTACAGTAATTTCATGAGAATGTAGAGGTGAAAATTTCATGGAACTTGACGGAGAGAACCAAGAGATGACACTGGATGTGGACAGCTCTGGTGAGACCAGGAAAATGGGGTGAAAGCTCAAGGAGTTTTACTCATAGGGAGAGAGAGGGAGAGATTTATATACCAGTTTGACCATATTAAATTGATATTGATAGCCAGTCATGGTGGCGCACGCCTGTAATCCCAGCACTTGGGAGGCTGAGGCAAGAGCATCATTGCGAGTTTGAGAACAGTCTGGGCTACAAAATGAGCTCAAGGCCAGTTCAACTGCATAGTGCGACCCTGTCTCAAAAAAGACAATAAATAAATAAATAAATCATTTTAAAAATTGATATTGATAAAATGAATACTGCAGGAGAGATAAACAATACACTTAAACTTCTTTAAAAAGTTGACTACAGATCCAGTATCCACTTTGACTTCTTCAACTGATGTGGTCCAGCCTACCTTCTCCTTCCACCCCTCCACTGTACCTGCTCCCCGTGGACCTCCACATCCCAAACTCTAATACTGTATCTCAGAAGCACCATCTACTACCCAGCTGCCAAGCCAGCCTTGGGAGAAAAAGTGGCTTCCTTACCCCTTCCTCTCTTCCCACATGACCCATCCAGGGGGGAAAAAAAACCACATCACATCCATTCTCCTTGCAACATTTCGCAGTTCCACTGCCTAGTTTGTGTTTTTAGCCTTGCTTACTAGGATTTCTTCAGGCATTTTAAAGTGGACCTCCTCAATCACACTCATTTTCTCAACCCACCCACCACCATCTTGTGTCCCTCCTAGGAGCCGAAAAAGATCTTTTAAAAATCTCACTGCTACTCAGAAAGCACTCAGTGTAACCCAGCAGAGCAACAAGTTACAAAAGAAAGCTCACATAATCTTATCAACAGATGCAGAGAGAACATTTGACAAAATGCAACACATGTTCACAATTTCTTTAAAAAGCCAACAAGCAGAAACAGAAGGTAAAAGCTTCAATTTGATAAATAACATCTACAAAAACTATAGCTAATGTCATAATGCAGTTATCCCCGCTAGGATCAGGAACAAAGTAAGAATGTTCCTTTCTCCACTGCTTTTCAACATCATACTAGAGATCCTAGGTAATGTAATAAGACAAGAAAAGGTAACAAAAGTTTACATACTGGGAAGGGAGAAATAAAATTGTCTTTATCTACAAATGATGTCATATGCAGAAAATCTTATCGCCCTGCTTAAAATCCAATGTTGTAAGGTACATCACCAAGTCCTTAAACTTCCTATAAGGACGCCTGACTCACTGTCCCGCCACACATTCATACCACTCTGTTCTAAGGCACTTCGTTCTTATTATTCTAACTGGTCATTTAGAAGAAAAGCACCACATACTTGTCATCCTAGGTCTGCAGGCCTGCCCTTCCTTCTGCCAGGAACTGTTTCCCACCCACTTTTCCTACTTAAATCCTGTTCCTTCTCAGGGCCCTAGCAGATACTAATCTCTGACTTCACACCACTCCCTGCCTGGTTTCACCTCATTCCTGGTTGCTTTCTTTGAAGCTATGGGAAGTCCTCAGCTGGGAGAAGTGGGGGTGAGGAGGGGCAACCCTGAGTCACTGGGGCATGAAAGTCAGTTGGAAACATACCCCGCGGGCCTTTGCAACCTAGGGTGCATCCCATACTGTTCCTCAGAAAGCAGGACTACACTGAGCCACCTGCAGGAACGATAGCCTGCTGATGCATCTTCATTCTGTTTCTTCCCCAGTCCCACTCTATTTCCTTTGCCTAGTTTCTGGAGATCAGTCTCAAAAAGGTGAGACTCAAATCCATGCCTCAGGACCTGCTTGGGGGAGAACCTAGAGGAAGATTTAACTTAATTATGACTTCTTCAAAGCATTCTTCCCTGATGTCATAAAGTATTAGCTGCCCTTTTCATCCTCCACTAGCACCCTGTCTTTTTCCTGCAGATAAACATCTGTATTTCTGATTCTATGTTATTCCTGTAACTTTTAACATGACTCCCCCCAAGACTGGACAGTCCATGTGGTCAGTGACTGTCAAAGTAGTACTGTGTTACTTTTGTTGCATGAGAGGGAAAATAAATATTTGAAAGGTTGAAGGCAAACACGGAGAGGAGAAAGTAAAGGGCCAATAAAATTTAATATCTAACACATTTGTCTGGAATCTAGAGTTTTGGTTGAGGTTTGGCACGCCAATTCATTGGTTTTTTGGCAGTGGACATTTGGCAGATACTAGAAACCTAAGAAATTACTGTAGTCAGATCGTTAAGCAATTCACTTTGTAAATAAACTGCAACTGATTAATATCTGAGTGACTGAGTATATAAAAAGTTTTAGGAAAACTTTTATTAAAGATTTTGAAATCTTTGGAAAAGATTACACCCATTCCAGATATCTTTCACTCTTTCTCTCATTCTTTCTCTAAAATTCAGCTTGATGTTTACACTTTTGTCTCACTTTAAAATCTCACTTAAATTTCTCAGCAGCACAGAGGCATAGCAAGGTCCATCGCTCAGAGACTAGCTGAGTTCTGGCAGTCCACAGTGCGGAGCCCAGGTCTCTGGTGCCACAGCACTTAGCTCTAGACCGCAGGAACTTTTCTTTAGGCTGGGCCGTCCTAGTTCGATCTCAGAAGGAATATCCATGAAGCCAACTAGGCCTACCTATTTCAGTCTCGCCAGGCTCTACGGGTTGCCAACGCAACTTTCACGGGATGGTTTGTTCCTTTTCCTTGGATGCTGTGGCAGCCCTGGCCTGCAGAGGACCCTTCTGAGGGCGCTCGCAGCATCTGGACCGGGTCTGTGACACCCCTGGTAGATCCTCTCTCCTGCGGGAAAAGCCCTGGCGTCAGTCACCTGCAGGAAGGTGGCAGATAGAGATCGAGAAAGGCTCGGTATCCCGCCTTCCTGTGGCGCGCTTTCGCAGGTACTCCGCCTGTCCGCACCCTGAGCCCCATGAACCCCGAAGGACCGACAGGTCCCCCGCCTCGCGGGCGCAGGCGTGGAGGCGGGACCCTCGCTAACTTTCGGCGCGCGGAGCACGTGCCGCGAGTCCTCGGCCACCCGGCGGCCAGCTCGGGCGCAACAGTTGGGCGGGCCGGCGCTGCCTCGGCGGCCGTG